TTATTCATATTCCCCAAATGAATGAGAACATACACTGTTTGTCCTTCTCTGATTGACTTACTTCACTCAGCATAATACCCTCCAGTTCCATCCACGTTGAAGCAAATGGTGGGTATTTGTCGTTTTGAATATATTTTAAAAAACACTGAATTTTACACTTTAAGTTGGCCAATTGTATGATGTGTGAATTACGTCTCGATAAGGCTGTTACCAAAAAACCCATTAGCATGAAGGCTTTTCCCCCTAGGTCTAAGAATATTTGGGGAATTGGGATGCCTGGGTGGCTCAGTGGTTGAGCATCTGCCTTTGGCTCAGGTTGTGATCCCCGGGGTCCTTGGGATTGAGTCCCACATTGGTTCCCCACAGGGAACCTGCTTCTCCCTCTGCCTATGTCTCTATCTCTCTTTGTGTGTCTCTCATGAATAAGTACATAAAATCTTAAAAAAAAAGAATATTTGGGAAATTATTTAAGACAAAGAAACAAAATACTACGTTATTTTTTAGAGACCTTATTATTATGTCTTCAAACCAAAATAGATCTTTACATTTAAGATGATTTAGGAAGGGCAGCCCCGGTGGCTCAGCAGTTTAGCGCCACCTTCGGTCCAGGGTGTGATCCTGGAGACCTGGGATCGAGTCCCACGTCAGGCTCCCTGCGTGGAGCCTGCTTCTCCCTCTGCCTGTGTCTCTGCCTCTCTCTCTCTCTCTGTGTCTCTCATGAATAAATAAATAAAATATTTAAAAAAAAGATGATTTAGGAACATTCCTCCCTAAACATGGGATGGATTTGAGCTCCTTCAATAACTTTCTTGAACTTAAAATTTCCATAATTCAAGAACAAGACTTTTTCTACCAAAGAGCAACAAATGATAATTTAATACAAATAAAATATCGTGAATATACAAATAAAAAGCAGCTTGTGTCAGGAAACCTACAAAGTAGCTTAATCTTTTATTATTATTATTTTTAAAGATTTTATTATTTGAGAGAGAGAGAGAGAGAGAGACAGAGTGCATGAGCAGAGGGTGGGACAGAGGAGGAGGGAGAAGCAGGGTGATGAGTAGAAAGCCTGATGCAGGGCTCAATCCCAGGACCCTGGGATCATGACCTGAGCCAAAGGCAAACACTTAACCAACTGAGCCACTCAGGCACCCTTAATCTTTTATTATTGCTATATATTTATTAGGAGGCCTAAAATTTAATGTGTTGCCTTGACATCTTTGAGCCTTATGGGATTCCAAAGTTATAACTATGAGTTCAACTCTTGCCAGAAATGCCCCTCACCCAGCAGGAAAGGCCCCCTACTTTGCTAATATCCCTATCAGCTGGACTGGCTGTACCTGACTCTCCCTCAGCCTAATGGGCTTCATGCCCCTGCAGCCTGTGGAATTATTTGCCAATCACATCTTCCCATGAGAACCAACCGTCACCCCATCGTCTTGTTATTACAAAGCCTGCCTCCTAAAGGCCCTGTTTGTTCTCTCCACTCCTGAGAGCAGTGTGATGTTGCATGGTGTTTGGTGTCCTCCTTCCCTAGGCTGGGAATATATGTGATTAGTAAACTGCTGTCAATCTCATAGGTCCAGTGTGTAGTGTTGTGAGTTCAGTCACCTTCAGAACCCTAGGACTCTCCCTTCCTCACCAATGGGATGAAGAGAGAGTGAACAGAATATTGTATCTCTTCCCCAACCAGCTCTGCTTCCTGCAGCTGCTGCTGCCTTTTTACTGCTGAAACAGTTCTCAGTCTCCCATTAGTCTAACCTCCTGCCCACAAGAAAACCATCAGATTGTGCAAACTTTGCACCTGCTCCAACCAGTGCACTCTTTACCTTACAGATAACCCACAGCCACTGCCATCCTACTAAGCCATTAAAACCATCTGCTCCCAACTTCTCTGCAGCAACTCATTCACTCTTGTTCCTCTGTCTCCAGATTCAGGAGTTAGAGCCAAAGATAATTTTATGTATTTTTGCAGAGTAGGCCTTTCCTACAGGTTTATTTACTGATTTGGTACTCAAACAAAGGAGATGAAGTACCTGAAAAGCCTGTGTGGATTCTGGAGTGCTGCACAACTATAAATTCAAATTTATTTGTTTCCAGAAAACTTGCCAAAGCCAGATTCTGCTTCCATGATTGTGCTATAGTGCCACAATTACTATAATAGTAGAGTTTCTTCGGGAAACTCTTCACAGTTGCTGACTCATGTGTACTATGGGTCATATCAGAGCCCCTTAAAGAAAATCCTCAAAGACACGCCACTAATGTAAATTTGTCCCTCCAAACAAACCTAATGAAGTTCTGCTGTGTTTTATTCTCAGAAAATATTACCTAATTCCTAAAATTTGCCAAGCATTATATTAGGTACTGGGGACAGAGAAACATGGTTGCTGCTATTTATCAGCAACATTAAATTTTTTAAAAAAGATATTACTTATTTATTAGAGAGAGAGAGAGAGAGAACGAGCAGGAGGAGGGGTAGAGGAAAAGGGAGAAGCAGAATCTTCACTGAGCAGGGAGCCTGACACGGGACTCATCCCAGGACTCTAGGATCATGACCTGAGCTGAAAGCAGACGCTTAACCACCCAGAAGCCCAACATTAAAAATTCTAAATTTTAAATTATGTTTAGAAACATAAAATTTATCATCTTTAAAAAATTGAGGTACAATTGACATATAACATTATATTAGTTTTAGGTACACAACATGATTCAGTATTTGTATATATTGCAAAAATATCACCACCACAACTCCAGCTACCATCCATCACCTAACAAAGTTGCAAAAACTTTTTTCTTGTGATGAGGATTTTAAGATATATTCTGAGCAACTTTCAACTATGCAACACAGTATTGTTAACTATAGTCACCATGCTATACATTCTATCACCATGACATATTTTATAACTGGAAGTTTGTACCTTTTGATTCTCTTCACCCATTTCACTCACCCCCTATCTCCTACCTGTGGCAATAGATCTCTAGCCTTTTCGTGTGACAAAATAAGATTCCCTACTTATGAAATAACTCTGTTTCCTTGGTTAAGTTATTCCTAAGTATTCCTTTTTCATGCTATTGTGATTGGAATTGTTTCTTATTTTCTTTTCAATTAGTTTTCTTCTCAGATTTTTGTGTGTTGACACAGCATTATACATGAGCATTTTTATTAATGCTCAAGAGCTAAGATTTTCCTGGAAATCTCTGCGGGGTGGTAACAGGCAGCAAGACCACAAGCCCTCACACAGCAGGTTACTATGATGCAGAAATGTAGTGAGTATTACTAGATGGCAGCCAGAGACACTAGAGGGCAGCATCGGCCCACCCAATGCTCTTGGTCCTGAGGCCTCAGTGCCGAGAACTTTAAAAGATCGTTTGCTTCTGTGGCTTTCAATCTCGCCCTTATTTCAGAATCACTAGAAGGCTTGTTAAAAAATACCTGGTTACAGGAGCACTTGGATGGCTCAGTCGGTTGGGCATCCAACTCTTGATTTTTGCTCAGGTCATGGTCTGGGAGTCGTGGGATCGGGGGCCTGCATGAGGCTCTATGCTCAGCAGGGAGTCTGTCCCTCTTCCTATGCTGTTCCCTCACCACCCCCACTCTCTCTCTCAAATAAATAAAATCTTTAAAAAAAATGGCTGGTTACATAATTTGTACAATCCAGAGTAAAATGAAAATGCTGGCCCTATGTTCAAAGAGTAGGAAAAATTGTCTTTAAAGATACTAAAATAGGGGATCCCTGGGTGGCTCAGCGCTTTAGCGCCTGCCTTTGGTCCAGGGCCTGATGCTGGCGTTCCGGATCAAGTTATGTCGGGCTCCCTGCATGGAGCCTGCTTCTCCCTCTGCCTGTGTCTCTGCCTCTCTGTCTTTCATGAAAAAATAAATAGAATCTTAAAAAAAAAAAGGTACTAAAATATAAAGCTTTTTCCTTTTACTATATTCTCCACTTCCCCCCTCTCCTGACTTGTCCTGTTTTTTTTTGCCTTGTCTAATGTTATTCTAAGTAAAGAAACATTTAAAACTTTAAATAATAACCCTGAATTTTACTGTTAATCTTTGTATTGTACAATGCCAGCTTTAAATGCAAATATCAGATCATTTAACCCTTAGGTAGGATCACCAACATTACTTAATTCATATTTTGTAGCTAACTCATGCATATGTATTTCATTCTTAGCAAAACATAGAAACACTGCACAAAATTAACTCTAGTTTTATTTTACTTCTTGATATGTGTACATCTAGCAACACACTATGGAAGTCAGTGACTTTCATAATATGCTTACCTTATACTTACTTTGGGTCTTGAACAATTCCCAACATCATGGGTCCACCAGAATTCTGTGTTTATGGGGACATTGCAAGTGCTCCATATGAATGGGGCATCAAGAAATGGCAGGCATACATGAGCCTGTGTCTTTGCTTATGCACACTGCATTATCTTATCAAACATCACTTATAAAATACAAAATAAAACTATACACAAAAGTTTATTTCATTTCAGAGGCTATGGCAATTAGTAATCTATTCAAGGACACCCTAGGGAGCTTATACAACCACATCAATAAATGAGTATGGATGCCAAACTACAGATCATAGCTCAGAGGTAGGGGTCTTCAGCAAGTCAGATTCCTTATGGCCAGAAGTTATAGCAAAGACTTCTTTATGCTATTCTCAGGTATACACAATTAGCCTAGCAATTAAGAGTAGTTTTTTTTGGAATTACACAGACCTGGATCTAAATCTCAGTTTTGCCACTTTCTTTGTGATCTGGGTAAGTTTTTTACTTTTCCTTGTTTAAGATCTTTTATCTGTAGGGCAGCCCCGGTGGCGCAGCGGTTTAGCGCTGCCTGCAGCCCGGGGCGTGATCCTGGAGACCCTGGATCAAGTCCCACGTTGGGCTCTCTGTATGATGCCTGCTTCTCCCTCTGTCTGTGTCTCTGCCTCTCTCTCTTTCTGTCTCTATGAATAAATAAATGAAATCTTAAAAAAAAAGATCCTTTACCTGTGAAATGGGGATGGTGGTAGTATAAACATCATAAAGTGCTTGTAGCATTATAGGGAATTTTGTAAAATAAGAGTTTAACACAGTGCCTGTCACAACTGATAGCTACAATGGAAAAAAATATGACAAATACCAATCTAAGATGCATCCTCATTCTCTCCTGGCACTTCTGAATACCTGCTTACCTGGCTTCTTATTATCTTCACTTGGTAGAGGATACAGTGGCTAACACAATTAGAAAATAGAAATAAATTGAAAGCATAAAAAATTAGGAAGAAGAAGGGATCCCTGGGTGGCTCAGCAGTTTAGCACCTGACTTTGGCCCAGGGCGCGATCCTGGAGACCTGGGATCGAGTTCCCTGTCGGGCTCCCTGCATGGAGCCTGCTTCTCCCTCTGCCTGTGTCTCTGCCTCTATGTCTATAATGAATAAATAAATAAAATCTTTAAAAAAAATTAGGAATTTGAAAGTAAACTGCTATCATTGGAAAGTGATATGATTGTATGCCTGAAAAGCTGAAGATAATCAACTCAAAACTTACTACTACTACTACTACCACTACTATTACTATTACTACTGAGGGGGCAGGGAGAGAAATGGAAAGAAAGAATTCAGTAAGGTGGCTGAATACAAAAATTAATAGGCTGAATTCAAAAGCCTTTGTATATACAAATGTACAATCAGAAGATATATTGGGGAAAAAAAAAGATATATTGGAAAAGAAAATCCCCCCTTTCCAAAAGCAACACAAAATAATAAATACTTAGGAATAAAACAGGCAAAAATTTTTTGAGAAAAATGTTAAAACATTTTCAAAAGTATAAATTCAGTCTTAAACAAATAGAAAAATGTACCATGTTCTTAGGGATAGGAACACTAAAAAATCTTCCTAAGTTAATTTATAAATTATTGTGATTTCTTTCTTTCTTTCTTTCTTTCTTTCTTTCTTTCTTTCTTTCTTTCTTTCTTTCTTTCTTTCTTTCTCTTTCTTTCTTTCTTTCTTTCTTTCTTTCTTTCTTTCTTTCTTCCTTTCTTTCTTTCTTTCATTTTTTTTTTTTATTTTTAAGATTTATTGGGACGCCTGGGTGGCTCAGTGGTTGAGCGTCTGCCTTTGGATCAGGGTGTGATCCTGGAGTCCTGGGATCGAGTCCCACATCGGGCTCCCTGCTTGGAGCCTGCTTCTCTTTCTGCCTGTGTCTCTGCCTCTCTCTCTCTGTGTCTCTCATGAATAAATAAATAAAATCTTTTAAAAAATGGTTTATTTATTGGGGCACGTGGGTGGCTCAGTCAGTTAAGGGTGGGACTCGTGATTTCAGCTCAGGTCATGATTTCATGGGTCCTGGGATGGAGCCCCTACTGGGCTCCCTGCTCAGCAGAGAGTCTGTTGAGATTCTCTCCCTCTGCCCCTCCCCCCATGCTCCCACGTGCTCTCTCTCAAATTGAGAGAGAGCCGGCAGGGAGGGGCAGAGGGAGAGAGAGAATCCCAAGCAAACTCTCTGAGCCTCACAGGGAGCTTGATCTCATCACCAAGAAATCATGACCTGAGCCAAACCAAGAGTCCCACGATTAACCAAATAAGCCAGCCACTCAGGCACTCCTACGTTAATGTGATCTCAATAAAAATACCAATAGGTTTAACTGGGGACAAGTAGGCTGATTTCTAAATTTATAGTGGGAAGTAAGCAAAAATAGTAAAACTCTCAAAAGGAAGAACTGTGATAGCCCTGAGATTAGTGATATCAAATAATAAAAAACCATGTAGCCTTAATTATTAAAACATTATGGTACTTGTGGATAGACAGATAAATGGAACTGATGAAAATGTCCAGAAATAGAACAAATACATAGTAGAATATGATAGAGGTGACATTCCATATCATTAGAATAAACATGTATCTTTTAATTTTTTAAAAGTTTATCATCATCATTATTATTTTTTTTTAGCAATCTCTACTCCCAATGAGGGGCTTAAATTCACTAACCTGAGCAAGAGTTGCTTGCTCTTCCAGTTGAGCCAGTCAGGCACCCCTAAACATGTATCTTTTAAATAAATGGCTTTAGGACAATTGGATAGTTTTTTTCAAGGAAGATCGGTGAATTCATATTTTGTACTATACACTTAGGTAAATTTCAAATCAACAGATTTAATTTTAAAAATCATACCTAAAAAGTTTATACATTAAAGTACCAGAAGAATGCATGGGATAATTCTTTTAGAACTTTGGAGAGAGGAAAACCTTCCTAGTTAACTATGAAGCCATTAAATAAATGATTAATTTATTCTGCATAGAATATCTTTTGAATGGCAGAATGCACCATAAAAAAGCCAAAAGACAAATTACAACTTGAAGACAATTGCAAATCTTTTTTACAGACAAAGGCTAACCCCTTCTTATATGTAAAAAGTACCTAATAAGCCAGTAGAAATAATTGTAAAGGAAGTAAACAGTCCATAGAAAAATAAATACTAATGACTCTTAAACAGATGAAAAGATGGAGATCTCTGGGTGGCTCAGTGGTTTGGCGCCTGCCTTTCGCCCCGGCATGATCTTGGAGACCCAGGATCCAGTCCTGCGTTGGGCTCCCTGCATGGGGCCTGCTTTTTCCTCTGCCTCTCTCTCTGTGTCTCTCATTGATAAACACATAAAATCTTAAAAGACATTCAAACTTACTCATGATAAGATAAATGTAAATTAAAATCATAACGCAGTAGATTGTGAAAACTCAAAAGTTTGACAGCACGTTCTTTTGGCAAAGTAAGAAGAAACTGACAATGTCATATTTTGCTGATGGGAGTGCAAAATTGTGCAATCCCTAAAGAGAACAATTTTAGAAATATTTGTTATAAATTGCAAATACATTTTCCCTTGGCCCAATAATTACAACTCTAGGAATTATTCTTTTTTTTTTCTAAAGATTTTATTTATTTATTCATGATAGACAAAGGGCGGGGGGCAGAGATACAGGCAGAGGGAGAAGCAGGTTCCTGCAAGGAGCCTGATGCGGGACTGGATCCCGGGGCTCCAAGATCATGCCCTGGGGTGAAGGCAGGCGCTAAACCGCTGAGCCCCCCAGGGATACCTCTAGGAATTATTCTTACACTTAATTCTGTCTTGGCAACAGCTTTTCTGAGGACTCAGACTAACACATACCATTTTTGTGGGAAAGGTGGATAAATAAGAGTATATATACATATTTGCATGTATTTATATAAAACACATTAGAAGGAGATAGAAGAAAAGGGAAGCAATAGAAATGGGGTAGTGATAACAGGTTGGGTGGAGAGAAAGAAGAGAGCAAGATTTTTGAATCCATGTGAATGTATATCTATGCAACACATAAATTTAAAAGGTTTTTGGAGATCAAAAATTTTTTTCTTTTTAAATTTTATTTTATTTATTTTCTTTTAAAAAAGATTTTATTCGTTTATTTGAGAGAGAGAATACACACGAGTGAGGGGGAGGGGCAGAGGGAAAGGGAGAAACACTCTCAGCTGATCAAGGAGCCTGATGCAGGGTGGATCCCAGGACCCTGGGATCATGACCTGAGCCCAAGGTAGACACTTCATTAACTGAGCCACCTAGGCACCCCTAAATTTTCTATTGTGAAATAATTATTGACTCATGGGTAATTGGAGAGATAGTGTAAAGGTACATGTACTCTTACCCAATTTCTCTCAAAGGCTATGTTTTATATAATTATAGTAAGATATCAAAACTGGAAATTAACATTGACACAATATGTGTATGATTCTAAGCCACTTTATCACGTGTGTAGATTTATGTAACCACCACACTATCAAGATACAAAATTATCCCATCACTACAAGAAAAAGAAAGAACTTGATAGTACATACTATAGGCGAAGCAGCCAGCTTGGGGTGTTAAGAATTTAGACCTGAACCTAGGGCTCAAACTCAGAATGACTTGCTTTATTTAAAGAAAGCATTTCTGATATGTATCTCTAATGTTAAGTTTGGCTGAGGATGTAGTCCAACAGATCATTAGGCCCTTGTTCTCATTCTCATTCTGAGATTGAGACATGCTAGGAATTGAGATAAAAAGCTTTATCTCAATTTTATTATGCATTCTTTAATACTTCTAGTATCAAGATTTTATTATGAAAATTAATTACCATTAAATAACCCCACGTATTAAATACAAGAAAGCTAATTTCTTAGCTGATATCCAGTTCTTTTTTTTTTAAGATTTTACTTATTTATTTGACAGAGAAAGAGAGAGAGAGAGAGAGAGAGAACAAGCAAAGGTAGTGGCAAGCAGAGGGAGAAAGAGAAGCAGGTTCCCCGTGGAGCAGGGAGCCCAACTCAGGATTCAATCCTAGGACCCTAGGATCATGACCTGAGCCAAAGGCAGATACTTAACTAACTGAATGACTCAGGCACCCATCTGATCCTCAGTTCTGCACATTAAATTCTCAGCTTTAATTTACTAGATTTTAGCTCAAATTTCAGGACCTATATTTTATAAGAGGCAATTATAATGAATTAAGTTAAAACTCTACAAGAGATGATCCTGATAACTAGGATCAGCCAACAACCCATAAAGGCCTTGTTGATGGGACTGTAAACTGTAGCAACTGTTCTGGAGAGAAATTTGGCTATAGATATCAAAGGCTTAAAAATATACCATTTTTTGACTCAATAATTCCATTTCTAGAAATTTGTCTTGAGGAAACAATTAAGCATATGGAAAAAAACTTTATTACAAAGTACACTATAGGGGCAACCTGGAGGCTTAGTGGTTGAGTATCTGCCTTTGAGTCAGGTCATGATCCCAGGGTCCTGGGATCGAGTCCCACATTGGGCTCCCTGCGGGGAGCCTCCTTATCCCTCTGCCTATGTCTCTGCCTCTCTCTCTGTGTCTCTCATGAATAGATAACTGAGATCTTTTTTTTTAAATGATACACTATAATCACTTAATGTAAAAGAAGGCAGTAAGGAGGAAAAGAACAAAAAAAGACACGAAACGTATAGAAAACAAAAATCAAAATGGCAGACATAAATCCGACCATATCAATAATAACAATAAATGT